TACTTAAACCAAAGTGTCGCCATCTAAGCGTCCTATCATTGCACTGGCCATGGCTATATCAATATTACAATGAGGTGTAGCAGGGACGTGATAAGCATGACACATGTTACACAAGCTCACGCCTGAAAGCTACGCAAAGGTCAAGTTTACGGATTTATTACCACTTCACAGAACTTAATGACCTAATCGCCTGCTGGTAGGAAAGTTCATACCCCAGTCACACCATTACACATGCCATACAAAGGGGGTCGGGTTTTTTTTCTAGCGGTGTGACTGAGGTATTTTGGTATGCTCACCGGCTGGTAGAAATGTATGACCCCTGACACACCAGACAGACTGACACCAGACAGTCTAAAGACCGAACACAGAAATGCATCAGCATGAACAGCGGACGGTAGAATTTTTTTTAACCTGAAATCATGAGGCCTGCCAAAGACAATACCCAGTTCACTTCACAAAAATCATTTTGTTCGGTTGATTATCAGGCTAATCGGAGGGGCTGATGTATGAGCTGCACTAATACACTGTCACGACAATGTCCTTTACGATTCCAATTGAATATGAAGATCAATTAAAGTAATATAGACAAACATGCAAAAAGGTAACGCTAGATGTCATATTCACATGTTAATGTTATAGTTATTTTATGACAAACAGGTAAAAGCATGTTTTAAAGACACAAATAAGATGACATTAAGTATAATTATAACAAACAAACATGTATAAAATACTACACTGTCTCTTAAACAAAGTACACTAGTTCCCCCCCCCCCCCATTTCTATTTGGGTCAAATTCTTTCCCTGCATAATGAAGTTATGGTCTGTTTCTTTTATTTCATTTGTATAATCCATGCAATAACCATGGACAAAATATCGTAACTGTGAATCACTGCCCAGTTTCTTCGCTGTCTTACTACATCTTCACACGGTATAGGAAGCAACTGCCTAGTATCAGAGAAAGAGAGAAAGAGAGAAAGAGAAAAAGAGAAAGAGAAAAAGAGAAAGAGAGAGAGCGGAGAAGCTAGGAAGAGGGAGAGATAGAGAGAGATAGAGAGAGAGAGAGAGAGAGAGAGAGAGAGAGAGAGAGAGAGAGATGGAGAGCTAGTTGGAGTACGTTTCGTAAGAAAGGCCTGTGGCGCAACGAGGGAACGTCAACAATTGACAAAAGGGTCACTTCTACGATTATTGATCCCTTTGGAACACCTCTCAGCTCGTGGCACTGGTTTTTATACCAAGAACCTGTCGCCATGGGGTGTGCGAGATTGATGTCAATGAGGAAATCACGTTACGGCTTATATATCGATGGCGGATCAAGGGTTTAAGATTAAGGGGAGGGAAGGGGAGGGAAGCGGAGGAGGGGAGGGGAGGGGAGGGGAGGGGAGGGGAGGGGAGGGGAGGGGAGGGGAGGGGAGGGGAGGGGAGGGGAGGGGAGGGGAGGGGAGGGGAGGGGAAGGGGAGGAAAGTGGAATGGGCAGGGAAGTGGGCACTCCACAGATCCAGACAATCATTCTTTAGATTTGTATGAAGACCTCCGCAACTGAATATACTGTAATGAAATAATATCGGCCTATTAGAAAACATAATCGAAGTTGGGAGCAATTGTATTTTGTATTTTGCAGAAAGCTTGCAAAGGGCTTGATCGAACCTATCAATTCCTTAAAAGGTTAAAGCAGTAACGAATAGAAATATAAGCGACGGATCTTGTGTTCTTGGCATGGGGTAGGGAGACACATTTTAAAAATTGACTGACTTGCATTTTGTATTTATTTAAATAGATTAAAATATCCATCACATCTTCAGCAGCCTTTTTCGTCTAAATTTACTATAAAAGCGGGGTACTTAAGGTATTCGAGATTTGCGTTTTACCCGGAAACGTTCCACGTCCCCTCTGGAGCCCCATCCCACCCCCTCTGGACCCCACTCCCTCCCTAGCCCACACACCCCACTGGATATTTGAATCAGCCTCTTGATACAACAACCATGGACCTACTAAGAGTAGTAGGTCCATGATACAACTTTCCCCGAGTTTCTGGCCGCCATGTGTTATCGTCTGACATGTTTACTCCACACACGCCGGAGTCTGATTAAGAATGATGCCCTGTGACAGATATGATACCCATAAAAGGTCGACACGTGATAACCGCATATCTAATCGTTCCCAGTCCCTCCGAGAACCATTAAAGAGAAGGCGAGTTCTTGTCATAGTCAATTTTAAGTTTAGTGATTTCCATTCCTAATTGTTGCCATGTGGAAAATTATGGTAGTAGCAATGGAAATCATTACCATATAGGTACTCTTGTCTTTCAAATATGACCAAGACTATTCCATAGCACTACAGACCTAAGTTCTTATGTCACGTGTTTACTTATGTAGTCTCAAATACCCATGCAGTATGACCTATGCAGTGCTCTCCAATGTTTGTGACTTATAGATTTTGTTAATTTGTTAGTTTTCTTTTCTTTTTTTTTATAATACTGGGCATTTCCAGTAACTAAGTATTATTCAGAAAGCATTGTAAGGTAAATTTCAGTTATTTTTTTTAGCCAAGACAAGACATGGACATTTATATTTGTTGTACCTTTAAGTTTAATGATGGAAGCACTGGGTTGCCATTAAGCCTGGGTGCGAGGGTTCATAGTTGTCGCTACCCAGTTTCTTTGACCTCTGTGAACTCGGAGGTATGGCATAACTAAAGCGGTCTGTCGACACAAGGGGGTATACATGTACTAGATACGAGGGGCGTGGCCGGCAAAATGCGGTCCAGGAATGGGGAGGGGTAAAAACAAATACTTTCCTCTTTCCATTTTTTTGCTTACATGTAAGTGGTCATTTTGGCCTAATAGATATTAACCTAACTAAGCTGATTAGTGTATTTGTATCCTACAAAGATCGCAAGTCCTGCTTCTAAATTCAAATAATAGAAGAGTCATATTATACTAAAGAACTCACTTCGCCAAAGAAAAAAAAGAAAGATCCTTAAATCCTGAAATTCTTGAAGAGTGATCTTTAACCTTTGGACGAATTTGTGAGGGGGCGGTACAACAGCAACCTCCTCTAGCAATTAACCCCTGTGAACTTAGCGCTAGACCAAAAATATTGTGTAAAATCAAATTACAACGCATTACCTATCTCACAACAGATACTCATACATGTTATATAAACGCGGAAATAGATTAGATGTAGGTAAGTTATTATGGAAGAAAATATGACATATATACAATAGCTGTACAGTTTGAAGCTGAATATATTGTGTAAGCCCATAAAAACCACCATGTATATTTATAAGATTATATTTCCACAACACAATCAGCTCACCACTCTTTCTCGTAACCATGGCAACCATTCACAAGCCATATGAGGCAGCACGAGGCACCATTTGCATCTCATATTTCTTCGGCATAATCCAGGGTTTCCTAACTATTTCCTATCACTGTGCGGTTGTTCATTGCTTACCCAGATGGATTGCTTAGATGTAATGACTTTGGTTCGTCTTTGGGAGATGTGGTAACACTAGAATAATTATCAAATGGAAGTTTTACCGAGTGACAAAAATAGTACAGAATAACAGAACAATTTTTTTTTTCTAACACAGTCCGGGTAGCTACCTTTCTTCTTTTCCTGGCTCATATTTCAAGTATTATGATCTTACAAAATATATCTTTGGTAGATGTAGACATGGTATGCTGGTATGAGTAAAAGGAGTAAAACCAACCCCCCCCCCCCCCTCGCCGGCATAACCATGCATGAAATGATTTACACACTATCGAAGCACATGCCGGCTACCCCTACCCCCCCCCCCCCTCCTTTGCACTGGCTTCGATCTCTGGTAGATGTGGAAACACTATAATAATTCTAATTCTGGTTAATGGACGTTTGACCAACAAAGAAAAAATAGTACAGATTAAAACATCATCCAAACACAGTCCAAGTATCACCCCCTTCCCCTTCCATTCCCGCCCCGGCTGGCTCCACCTAAATGATTGTGATTTACAATCTTTGGTAGATGTGGACGTGTCATACCGGGTCAGTGGAATCTGTACCCCTCCCTCATAAAAACGCAGACTTATTATACCGTTTCTCCATCCAAATACATTCCCAGCATCCGCATCTGTTCCCCTCTACCTCTCTCTCTCTCTCTCTCTCTCTATTTCTCCCCCTCTCTATATTTCTCCCTCTTTCTCTTTCTCTCTACCTGGCCCTAGCCGTAGTTGTAATTGGGATCAGCGCAATTTCACCTCATTGCATTATTACGTAATAACACACCATCTGTTCAGTATCGGAGTGAACCCCCTTCCAACCCCCACCCTATCCCCTCCCTCGCTTTTATTGCAATCATTATTATCGCTACTCGTTGTTAGATGTGAACTTCTCATGCTGAATCAGTTCAAAATATACACAAAACACGGTCCTACAGAAAACATGATTAAGACGGTGTATTATTCAATAAAGTTCTTTCAAAATGCCACTATCAACCAACCACATGCAGCCGGTGATAATATTTAAGGTTGATGTTAGAATATGACCGCGAGGCAATTATTGCCACTGAAGCATTTGCTGCAGAAACAAACTATGTTACAATGCACTGCTGTTACAATCATATGCACAGCCAAGAGCACTTACAGACAAGAGCACTTCAACAAGACTGAAGGACGCGACCTCACACCCGTCTGCTTTTCAGGAAAACATTAAAATAAATGGTAAAGGGTGTCTATAAACGCATCCGGCCGGCCGGGTATTGCTCCTTTCATATGTGAACTTTATAGGATTGTAGGCTATTCTTTCAGTGTAACGATTGTAAAGTGATCCAGATTGATTGAAAGTCCTCCAATCAATCGCAAACTCAAAAACCTCTGTCCATTAAAAACATAATTGCGATTGATTTCGAGTAGCAGCCGATTTGAATCCTCCGCCACTGTTTATAAGCCGGGGTCCTGGTCGATTTCCCCCCACTAATAAATGGCTTTGGAATAAATAATAAGGTAAATAATTATATGACTTACCTTCCAGTCAAAAGCATAGCTATCTGTTTATCCGTTCTCGTTTTGTTCTCCGCCGCGTACCTCCCTGTTGCATCTAACTCGTAAATTTCCCCGTCGCAGTCTAGAATCTTCTTGAATTCTTTCTTTGTGATGTTAAACGGATGGAAGTGGGTTTCATACACCTTCTCAACCTCCTCTTCAAAGTGTGTCGGGTACACGAGATAGAGGAGGTACAAAAGATGGGCCAAGTTGAGAAACAAGGCCGCCATGTTCCACCCGAAAGCATCGGGCCAGCACAGAACGGGCCCAGACCAGAGTACGTGGCAGAACCCACCTATGACTAAGGTGGACCGGAGCCACAAGGCCTGGGCTATACCGACGTTTGGCGGGACCAGGAACCCGTTGAAGAGAACGAAGGATCCTAGTTGGTAGATGGAGTGTTGGGACACGAACATGTCACCACATCCAGCGTCTGGATCTATGACTGGGTCCGACCCGTTGTTCTGCATGTTGGTTGATGGTGTAAGGCGCTAATGTGTGTGTGGTAATGGACAGAGTTGTTGAAGGCTATCACCTTTTGGAAGCGGTTGTTTCATATATGGAATCCAAAGGAGTTGTAGAGGCACATGATGGTAATCACAGACGTCAGGTTATCCTCACCTTTATGCTGTTGAGTCTTCCTACGATAAAAAGAGTAAACATTATCACAATAACATTTATAAATTGACCGAGATTTACAAAAACTTGAACAAAAATGTGAACCTTAAATACATAATCAATAACGTGAAATCCAATCATCGTGCATTACATAATCATATAGTAGGAGAACAGATTATAATGGCTATTAAAGAATCGATGGCATGCTGGTTTAGAAGTAAATATGTTAATATAAAGTCAAGTTGTAGGTGTTTTTTTAATAAGGCACAATGTTTAGTGTGGCAGTGTTTAACTGCCACAGGAACACATAGGCTTCACATACAGGTTATGCACATATTTCTACACATTGCCTATCAAATAAATAAAACACTTCAAATGCGAGAAATAGAGAAAAAATGTCCTTGTTTTCTTGTGTCAGTTGATCACCATTGCTGGTGTAATCCCTTACAAAATATAAAATAGACGTATTTGGCGAGCGTACAACCCTGCGTACAACCTCCATCTTGCTTCTGGAAAGTATACACTGCCATCAAGATCTTGTTCAACTTCGTATCAAGTTTCAAAAATGAAGGGATGAAGCACGGTGAGAGGGAAACGTGGCTATCCTGTATATTTACAGAACCTCTAAATAATATGCCAGGCAATAATGAATTCCCTACACAGTAAATCACACAAAGGGAGAAGGAAGCAGCACGCATTACATCACCAGGCCGGGTCATAAAACCCACCGCTTTACCTAGGCATCCAACAGCTGGGTATAGCCCGCAATGAAAAGATTAAAAGAGATGGTTGAGTTCTGATATAGCATTGTGTGAGCTTTCCCTCTCTTCGTATGTTATTTTTGGGGAAATATCGCAGTCGAAATGTCCACTCAAAAAAAAAATCTTCAAAATATAATCTCACTCATTTTCGACTTTCGACGAGAAATGTTTGGTGGTTTTGTTTTTACCAGACTTCCATACCACATTTGCGTGTGGTCCCATATACCTATATGTGTATGTGCGATTTCCAGCAAGATTGAGTCGATTCCTTCTCATTTTTATCATCTCAAAACCTCACGGGATGCATTCATTGTTATGGACCTCAGATTCGATCTTTCCCAATAGCTTCCGGGTAATTTCTCTCACAATATTATCGCACGACCAGTAGTCATTTTTATCCTTAACAGAAGCGACTGATGTTTCCTCATCACGATGTATGACTTGGTCTATTTCAATGGATATCAGGTTTACGGTGAGAGAAGCGTAGCCTAGACATTATAAAAGCAGGGTAACCATGTGTGTGAAATATAAGACATGTAGAAGCTTTGGGACTCTTTGACACCGTCATTTGGTAACGTACCATGGCATGGTAATAGTAATATTAATATTATACGACTACTACTACGAATACTAATGATGCTACTACTACTACTACTACTTCTACTACTAATACTTTTATTAGTATTACTACTTCTAATACTACTTCTACTACTGCTGCTGCTGCTACTACTTCTACTTCTAACAACAAATTATTCCATTCTGGACTATTTCTTCATTTCTGGACTGTAAAAAATACAAAAAATGCCATCAAATCCTTGTTTATTTGATCTTTTATTAACCATCAAGTCACAAATCTCTGTTATTAATTGGTAGAAACAACCAGGTAAAAAAGGTAAAATCTACTACTGATAATAATAATGAAATAAGATAAGGATGATTAATACTCATGTATTATTACCAATATCATTATTACTGTTTTTATAAGTATAAGTAGTAGTAATATTATCTACAGCAAAAATATGATCATTCAGGAAAATCAATTTTTCATGCATGTGAATTTTCAAACCCAAATATGTCAACATTGTACGCCATGAAAAATCTTCAAAGGTAAAGGGGACAAGAGAGAAATCACCATCGCATACAAAGATGGCGAAGGTGATATACTCATTTTATAGGGAATCGTTAGCAATAGCATCAATACAGCTCCATCAGTCCATCTTACATCATCACCATCACCCAATATTCACACGTCGTGTTTGCTGTTACTATAGGCCTATATCGTACTCTAACCCAATCATATAACCTAATGCGTTTTCCTCCCGCCTCCTGAAGTCTATTAGTGCAAGTTCTTCTCCATTTCTTCCCCATAATTTTGCCGCTTCAGATAAAAGATATACTAGAAAGACCGGAGGCAAGAGCGCGTATCCAGGGCAAAGTGTCACTTTATGAAATCTCTATTTTTCAGGGTTGTCAATAAATTGAGAAGGCGAGCGAGCGATGCGTTTAAAGCGTGAAGTGTTTGTTGGAATCACGTGTCCATGGAGGTTTTGAACGAGAGCAAAGAGGATGGAGAATCATTTGATAGCATAAAAGTAGAGCTGCCGTTTTCTGTGAAAGCCTGTTGCCCTCTCTTGCGGGGGTGTAAAAAGTAGACTCTATTTCATCCATTCCTGTTAATGGTTTTCTGCTGTGGATGAATTGTGCGGTAACCCTCGTTTTCAGAGAGATTTTTTTTTTTTAAAGGCATTTTGGAAGTGTCTAGGATTTACTTTCTTATCAATCAAAATTTCAAGTTGCACTTATTAGAGTACCTAGCTTTTAATATCATGAGGAGATTATAAGTAGATTACACTAGTATTCATTGAAAAATGTTGATGTGATGACCTATGACCGACCGTTAAAATTCAATTAGATATACTCCAGATTATCCATCATCTCTGTTAGGTGTTTTATTTTTTAGGGACGTGTCATTAACCCGTTGGTAAGGGCTATTCTAACGCTTGCATGTCACTATCGTCCGTTTGGTATATATAGGTTAAAGTACATTACCCGATAGCAATATACACAATTTTCCCACTGAAAAAAGTGGTCTTTAATATTCAACATGCTATCTAATTTCGCGCTCTTCTTCTACATAAATATTGTGGATATCAAAGGCTTTGGTCATAAGGCACAATGCAGGACAGAATATTTGGCTACTGTGGACGTAGGGCCGGTTGATATAGGTTTGCTATCCTGTAGTGCTACTGAGAAGAAATACGACTAGAAGAAGGTCCACTGGGATGTAAGGTAACTGTGACATTAGGACGTAAGCCGCTTGGACGTTTAAAGAGCCACCGGGCCATTTACGGCACCTAAGCCGAAAGGGCCAATGGGACGCAGGCACGTACCAGAGTTTGATGTTTGGGGGGGGGGGGGGGCACATACATGTAAATCGATCGACGTCCTGTGGAGGGGTCTAAAAAAGTTCAACCGATCTTGGATTTTTTTCGGGGGGGGGGGCTACGTGCCTAATGGGACGAAGGGCTACCAAAGAGCTATCAAAGGACCACCAGAACATAGGAACACTAAGTTGTAGGTCCAATGGAATGTAGGATCCCAGGTCCACAGGACCACGGGAACATAATACTAAGATTTAACATGTGTAAGGCCTCTGGAACACTGACCACCTAAATTAGTGCACAATAGGGCAATTATGGGATACACGAGTTGTAAGTTCACTGAGGAATAGAATCCATGCAGGGGCGGCCGAGCGGTTTCCAAAGTGGGGGGGGGGGACCAAAAAAAAGGCTCTTTCTGGAAAAAAGGACACCTATAAAGGGAAATCTCAAAGCGAAAATGTACCATTTTTTACATTGGTTATATACCCCTACATTATCGGGAATGATTTCAATACTTGTTTCACTTTATACATCATACAAGATATTGCTTAAGCACCATGCTTTGCAGTTGGGTGTGATTGTCTAAAAAAATGTTTGCGAGTGAGCGAAGCAAGCGAGGAAAAAAATTAAGATGTGTAAGGTCGCAGTGCGAAAAATTACATCTTACAAAGAGGGAAAACTCAATCCTAATGGGGTAATAAGCACATTCTCATAACGGAAGACTGAAAAGACCCTTGATAAGTAACATAACTATATCATCCATAGATGCGTGCGAGCGAGCTTTGGGGGAAATTGCTCTTAGTCGCTTGAAATTAGCTAGGGCGGGTTTAATGATAAGAGGAAAAGGGGACACTTATCAGGAAAGAGAAGGAGCATGTGTCAAAGTACAAAGAGTAATCATCAGAGGTGAAAATGGGGCACTTTTTACACCCTCAAAAAGAGGGTCTCACCAGGGTGGAAAAAAGTCAGTCGTGAGAAAAGGAAATGGGCATTTGTCGACGGAAAAGGGGCACCCATCGGATTTTGAAAGGGGAATTTATAAGATATTATTATATATTGTTAAAAGGGAAATTATCAGAGGTGAAAGGAGGCACTTATCGCACCTGAGAGGGGGCAATGACCAGAATATGAAAAGGGGCACTTACGTGAATGAAAAAGGGGCACTTTTAATAAGGGAAGGGTGCATTAGTGAAAAGAAAATGAATACCGATCAGATTTTAAAAGGGCATTAATCGGAGGTGAAGGGGGCACTTATCTGAAGTGAAAAGGAGTAACTTCTCGAACCTGAGCAGGGTCATTTACCAGAGAAGGGGAACTTGTGAGAAGGGTAAGGGGCTCTTTATTAATGGGGCACTTATTAGAAAGGACAAAAAAGGCACATGTGAAAATCTAAAGTGCGCTTATCCGAGTTAAAATGGGGTTAGTTATTAAAAGGGGAAGGGGTGCTTCTTACAAATGAAAAGGGGCACTTTTAATTCTAAAAGAGGCACGTACCTCTGAGATTTAAATAGTACAATTATCAGAGGTGAAAGGGGCACTTATCAAAAGTGAAAAGAGGCACTTATCGTACCTAACTAGGGGCACTTATTAGAGATTAAAAAGGGCACTTGTGAGAATGGAAAATGGACACTTATTGCAAATGGGGGGCCTGGGTTTCTAGCATTCATATTCTTTATGTGCCTCGCTTAAATCTATTAATTATCATTAACAAATTAACCACTACTGACGTATCCATTCTGAGATCGAGTTTAAAGTCTGAATTAGTCTGCTGCAGGGAAGGTGACCTTTATAAAAGTTTGAAAGAGAAGTTCCCACGTCAAAGATGTATTGCTTATGCCACAGGGCAGACCTGTTGTTGTTTGATGATGTAGGATACATCTCAGAGAAGGAGGTGCTGGAGGAATGGAAGCAGGAGACGGCAGGGAAAAGAAGGGTTGTAGGAGAGGCGTTTCTTGTTTATTTGGTAACTTTAAACAATACTGTAGGCAGTGTTATGTTTGGCCTTGCTCATTGGAGAAAAACTTTCCACCTATGAACGAACAAAATCGATCATTGTGTCATCAAGCCCAAATAAATTTGCACCTGAAGTAACACCTTTAAAGTTACCGGTTTGAAGTTACTCTTTAATTCGATATTACTGTGGAAAAGTCAGGAGTTTTTAATCATAGGTTTTAACAAAGATTACCCGTAAAACAGTATTAGAACCATCACAAGTATAATGTATGCAGGCCAAGCAAGCTATTGCTTTAATATCATTGAGAGGAAAATCCATGTAATGGGAAGTTGGTACCCAATTTCTCGACCGTTTCGTGCATGTTTCTTGGACGCAATGTAATATTTTTGTCTTATTTTTCATTGTTATCCCAATGGGTGGCCTTTATCATCATAAACAGAATAGACTCGATTGTGATTTTAAAACAATAATAAAACACCCTTATATTGGTAGCGTTCTGTACACTTAAGACACGCATCACTTTATTCTTCCAACCAGGAAATTAAACATACGGCCTTGGGCTAATCTAAGTTTAATATGAACAAAAATAAATAAAAAGGAGACTGCATTAAAAAAGAGAAGCTGTCGAGCTTCATCAACGTCTAGAGGCGAGAAAATTGCTGGTTGTTGAAAAGGTGTGTGAATCACCTCTTTATGTTGTCATGTGGGCGTCTTTATTGCCTGAGGCTCCTGTCTAATAATTTGTGTTTGTAATTGATCATATTTGATGTTTTTATCAAACGAGACAAGGGCTGGCAAACTATTCCAGGAAATGGATAACACACGGGACGGATTTCAACCGTCGGTCGATGCATTTAATCCTCCATAAGCTCCCAGTTTCCCGTTGTCTTGAGAATATATGAAAAACTAAAAAGGGTAAACCCAATATTTTTCAGGAGCTGGGTTGTGTCAAACGAGCTCGATATAAAATGGTGAGGCTCGAAAGAAATCGGACAAAAAGTAAAGAACGTTTTTGAAAGAATTTGATCACTATGCAAATTACAAATTGGCAATTCGGTATTAAGGTCGATTGTGACGTATTCGAGAACAATATACAGTTTAGATAGATTTTTGCTTTGTCTTATTTTCGAAAGAAAGGGGGCGGCCCACAGTAATGGTGTGGCAAATGCCCCGTATTCGTCCACAGACATTAAACAATTTAATTGGGGTCATAATTGTCCCCCTCCCTCCGCCAGTGCCCATATTTCTCTTGTTATCCCATGGTTAAATAAGAAAAAAGGGGCAATAACGGGCTGAAGAGTGAAGTGGAATAGACCATTAATTAAAATTGAAGTTACACGTTTCCAAGAGTCAGAGTGCAAACATCATTGCAAAATACTATAGTTGTTGCTAGGTCGGACAAACATTATGTCGCATCCTAACAACACGAAATGTATGCAGTTTGCATTCTGACTCCACAAATATTCCTAACAGGTGCTTTAAATAGGTCGTAAGGAGGCACCATCCTTAATAACGAAAGCGTACATTACGAACTGGTGGCTTATTGAATGGAATCACTGAATCATAATTCCTGATAATGCCGTTTCTGAAAAGGGAAAATTCCCAGATGGTTAATTAAGCATGCATCTATTAAAGACATTTGTTCCTGGATACGTCTGGAACCTTGCAAGGGGCTTGCGCACATACCGACAACTGATGACATAACCCCCATGTTCACTACTGAACAGTAATACGAAGTGACAGATGAATGCAATAACTTGTCCCCATTGGCTAGTGGATGCTCTGACATTTTCTCATGCGACATTTGCTCCGATAATTATTTGCCACAGATAAAAAGTTAAGCTCGCTAGTGGTATTGGGTTAGGTTTAAGGTTAGTGTTTGGTTAAGGTCTGAAGTTAGGAATTCTTTTTAAAAGCGGCCGCTGATAATTGTCGCCGGATTATTTGTCGTACGATCTTCTTCTTCTTCTTGTTGTCCATCCGCTTTTGATCAGCTCATGTGGTAGAAACTGGTCCATAATTTTGAGTGCAATGCACTATTTAAAAAAGCCTTCATTTGAATCTCGTGAAGAAAAAGGAGAAGGATATAGGCCTGCCTTCGTATCATATAAGGCAACGCAATGTGTATTAATGACGCTATGGACTAGGCATACATATAACACACACAATAACGTTGACGCAAACGAATCTCTATCCCCCACACAATTGAATGAAATCTAAAAAGATAATTAACTCGGATAGTTTACATAATCCTATTAAAGACATTTGTCTTGATTTCAACACACAAGGCAGTATTGAAATTATTTGCATACAAATAGCCTAACTAAGTATGACTAAGTATATTCAAGTAGCGGTTTAATTTGTATACTTACTCAACACAGCATCACGTTGTAAGCCAATAGTCGTGTGTACGTCGTTGTGAAATACTCCTCGCTGTTATTTCAAGAGAGAAGCATGCACTTTTCATCAAGAAGTTCTCAGCTATCGTCGCGAGTTAACAATTTTGTATTCTTGAATGCTTAATCATGCTGGGAGAAAGCGAAAAATCTGCTCAAAATCCAGGTATGATACCGTCCATACTATATTCACGTACATCCGTTTGTCCACAACCGAGCTTCGCTTGCAGACGACATTGAAAACCCGCGCTTTTTCATTTTCTCGGCGGACTGAAAGGCACTCGAAGAATGCGCGCTATGCGAGGAGTATCTGTTGTGAGCGGATTGAGAAGCAGCGATGAGTCTGTACTGTATGTGGTGTGGATCGAAATATTCGTGACGTATTTTGATTAGCTCTCGTAGTTCCGCATCTGTAATGAATGCACAATCACTCTGCACTTTTGGGCAAACGGAAGAATTTGTTTTCATTTTCAAACGGTGCAATGAGCACTTTCAGCTAAAAAAAACAACAAGATAGGCAATGTAAGAATTTAACAGAAAAGTCCACCTTGATATCAAATTGGATGTTATAAAGTTTAAAATGAGATAAATTTATCAGTGATAGTTTGATTTTGGGAAAATCCGATACTGTTTCCTTTTTTAATACTTTTTTTTAAATACGAATGTTATGTTCTTGATCAAACGAAAATTGACAGCTCTGTGATTTACTGATGAGCACCTCCCTAAAGTATGTTGTACTAAAAAAGAACAGTTCAAACGACCCCCAAATATACACACATATTTTTATAAATGAGAAGTCCCACTTTGATTTTAATTTTTACAAAAAGGACTTTTAGATTTGCACAACGACAACGTGGATTGCTACGACCGACGTCCTTTTAATGCACTGCCTTGAATGGACGTCACACGTACCAGTCCACGCAAATCTAAAAGTCTCTAAAGTATTAAAATAACTACTGCCAAAGCCATGGGAGTGCTTAATGAACACCTTCAAGCGCCTTCTTGAGAAGAATACTTCCAGCTGTGATCCTTAGAATGTACCGTTGGTCCATTAATGAATAATGATTACATAAATTTCATGAGAACGCATCTATTATTCGTCTCGATGGGTTTTTCGAATGACAGATTGTATCTACGAACTGGCTTTTGCATTAATGTTTAATTTCCTGGTTGTTGATGAATAAATAATCTATTTTTATTAAGAGGATGTGTAAAAAGAATGCTAATCCCATTTTAACATTATATTTTCAATGAAAACAAAATTCTATTACTGGCAAACGAAGATGTGCTCGCAATGATTATGTCATCAACCTGTTAAAGGTTTCTACTTCCATGGCCACAAAATCATTCCGTGAAAAATATATCAAATTGTTGAACAGCCTTGATCAAAGTATTCAGCAAAGCTCAACTGTTTCGAATTTTAAATTCTCTATAAAAAGATTATATTTTACCAATATTAGTACATTCTAAATACATATATAATATGTAATAGTTAATTCTTATTTTTTCTTCTCCTTGTCTGCATATGGTTATGTGTGTGCGTATGAGTGTGCGCGCGCGTGTTTTTGTGTGTTTTTGTGTATTTGTACATGTATTTGTCTATTTGAAATATCTGTTAAGGAGATCGCAATTTCCTGATTAATATATAATGTTGCTGTTTTTTAATTCTCAAACGTAAAGAAAATTAACATAATGTATTACCACAATCTCAAATGTCAAGCGAATACAACCCAATCCTATCCTCGTCATGTTTCAATAAGGGGGGGGGGAGGAGAATACATGTTAAGTATCAATGGAATATGTTATATGGTACACATTTTATAACTACAAGAACCAATTCTTTTAGATAAAATCAAGCCGAGCCAATTGTATTGCTTTTGTGCGTCACTCATTGAAACCTTGTAATGAATATTACATAATTTGAACATGAATTCGAATTGTGGCATTGAAATCGTTGCCATCACGTTCATGGTGTGTATCTGATACGCCTGTACATTGTCTTAGAAAGACAAGTTACCTTTATTGTAATACTTTTTGTATTTCCTTCTTATTTGAAATATTGAAGTGATGTTGAGAAGAACTGGCCTATGTATGGAGTCATGGAAATTGTAATTTTCTCCTCAAAATTTACAGAGCCCCTATTATATCATGGTAGCATTTTTGTGCTCTTTCTCTCTTTTCCCCCCTCTTCTTCTCTTCTATTCAAGTTTATGTTTGTCTCCCTTCCTGCGCAGAGATGTAAACGTCATTTATTTTTTACATGGCTGCATATATTAATGTTGTTACTCGCTCATGATGAAAAAAGATGGAATCCCAGAGGTGAGTGAAAAACTGTGCCATGAATTCGGTTAATTTTTTTTTGCTTTTCTTCAGGCCGTTTGACCCAGTTTCCTAGATATTTTCCTGTAAATGAGTAAAGCATGTTGTTTGTTGAAGCATGCAATTTGCCACAGCATACCATAATAGGCCATTTTCGTAGTGTGCCTCGTTACAAATTATTTCATTCACCTGTTACGAATAATTTCATTTCAATAGTCAGAATGCTTATTGCATACATTCTGTGTTGTTAGGTAAAGGGTAATGTTTGTCCTACCTAGCAACAATTAATGTATCATTTTGCATTCTGACTATTGAAATACAAATATTCGTAACAGTCAAATGAAATAATTTGTAGCAAGGCACTTAATAGAGATTTAATGATACTAATATAATAATATCTAAGATTTATATAGCGCTAGTATACAAATACTGTTTCTTAGCGCTTTACAAAAACAAATGAAAAGAAAATTACGGTTAAATTATGTAATAAGGGTCATCAAGAAACGTGAAATGAACATTGCGCTTAATGTGGACGAATTACTTAACTAATAATGTATATCAATAACATGATAATGAAAAATGAAAATGAAAATACAATAATTAAGTAACATTAATTAAGTTTGATTACACTACGAAATAGTCTATTCCGTCTTGATGAATTTATACATTTAAAGATGTACTCTCACCCTCAAACACAATGTAAGCCTTCAAAAACCTAATGCGCAGGGTTTCATTTCAAACTGATATCAATAAGACCAAGGTAAAACAATGAACCAGTAATGATTAAGTGTGTTCAGTACTGTATTGAGTTCCATACCAGCAAAATTCAACATCATTACTATCAAGGGTACAGATATAATGATTCATATTCAAAATACATTTATTTCATTCTTATGATAATCAATACAGTATAAAATTAACTTTAACATACATTACGAGGCTTGTAATTGACTCATCGTAATCGAATTCCGCAGGTGCCCTTTAGGTCACACATTTAAAAAGGGAGGTACATTTACGTTTTGATATTTATGGACCGATTGGCCCTCTCCCTCTTAATCGAAAAGTGCATGATTACTATGATATTAGTGCATGAACATATGTTCCATTCAAAATAATACTAACATTTCATTTTAAACTCAGGTAAAGCTTATGGGCTCGTTTGTAACTGTGTGCACATACTCTGCTTACAAGAACACCGCTTTCTAAATTGTTGAGCACTAAAATTATATACTGCGAATGAATACGGATTAAATATTTAGACATTCAAGACAGAAATAATAGTAGTACGGGTTTGAATTTAAAAGTGTTTAGATTGACATTTTGCGTCCTGTAATACGATCGTCCCTAGATTATATTTCATGTATGAATGTAAAATTCAGCGGGGTGTTTCACAAAGCTTTTTTCAATGAAAAATGACAAAAATCAGTGACAAATATGCTGATAACCAATCAGAAGCAAGGATTTCAATAGCTTATAATCAAAACTGTCATTTGTCACCGATGACAAGTTTTTGTGAAACACCCCCTGGACTTGATTTCATAGGATAGCGTCCTTCTAAGATAAACATGCATCGGCATGATCATTTTTATGATAAATGGTGACGTCATCATATCTCTACAAATGCATAGAACCAGCTGTACATTACAGCAGACAGGCGGATCCAGAATTTGTTAAGGCTGGTTGGGGGGGGGGGGGGGGCACATTACCTGAAATGACAAACTAAATGATACTTTTTGTTTTTTCACGTAAGGTATGTTAACGAGATTTCAGGGGGGGATATAACGAGAGAAATGTAGACGCATTTACTGCGTTTACCTCTCGGTTGGATCATTAAAGTGAAAATTATAGGCCTATATTTTGTTTTACTTTAAAGATATAGTTGAGTTAAGGGCAAGCGATTAGAATCATCAAGAAAATAAGACATTGGCTAAATCTCGCTAAAAGCCACGCAATGCACACAGATATGTGTATGTGGGAATAGAATGAAAAGTGCATGGCATGACAGTTTTGGCCAAGTTTGGTGTCAAGTTTGTTACGATTATTCCTCATATTTCTAATACGTGTGCATTCGAACAGCAAACCTTTTCAGCGGAAATTTCTTTTATGATATTGGTATTTTATTTTGAAATAATCTGAATTATATGGCGTTTATGAAGTAGAATAACAACAAATTTTTTTTTTACAAATCCATACCTATATTATTAGGATATTCTCATTTAACACAAAAAAAGAAAGGTCGCGAACTATTTTTTTCAAATTTCCAGTTAGAACTCGATCTCGTCTTTAACTGAGCAAAGGCGCCTGTTAGGCACATTCATGCTCGTCATGTAAACACGGCACATCCCGCAGACGACCGCCAAAAAACCCGGCGGGAAACATAGCAGGAGATGTGTGCCATGTCCCCACTTTCAAGAAAAGTGCGTCGCCCTTTCTTTCTCCATTACGTAAGTCAAGCTGGCCATTTCTGGGCTAGTGACTTCGCCATATTTGACTAGTGTCCTGTTCTTTTCTCCCAATTCCGTTATTTCCTCTATCGGCTGTAGTCCCCTGAAGCACACGGGGGCATGTTTGTCTAATATTTTGTTGTACCCCAGGGTTTTTTCCACTTCAACTCCCGAAGTTTGAAAATGTATCTGGTTCTGCGATGGCGGGTCCGTGCAGACTCCAATGTTTAATGGACGGCGCTGATTGGCATACAGGGTTTTATTTTGAAATGTGAGACCCGGGCTAGGGTTTATGCATCCTGATGGGAAGCAAGGAAGGCAAGCCACAGCGGACGTATTTGTGTTCGTGTGCACTGTATTATTGACACAAGCAGAAAGTGAATCCTTGTAAAGGTTGTGCAAATGAAAATGAGTGAGAGGCAAAGAATGAGAGAGAGAGAGAGAGAGAGAGAGAGTCTTAGAGAGGGAAAGAAACAAACACACACGCACACGCACATACACACACACACACGCACACACCTCCACAA